CAATCATTATTGCGCAACGCAGCTCGCTTTTCTGGTAGCTTTTCGAAACTTTCCATAAAAGGAAAAAATATTTCCAACAGGCGAGAACTTTCCAGTGAGCATCGCGCGTAACGCACTTTACGTGACGCGAGTGCAGTGAATAACGCTCCTCTCCGTTGCGCGGCAAGAAATTTCCGAATGGAACGGCACGTCGAAGGTTTCGCATTTCCATGGCAAGTTCCGAGCAGCAGCCGCGAAACCAGTAATTTCATTATCGAACTTCTCGCCTCTCTTTTACACTGAAGTTTCGGATCTCTATAAGCTTTGCAAAAGGCGAAGTAACGCAGATTGAAAGCTATCCTCGCTGCGAGAGCGCGAAAGCTATCAACCGTTAGGAGAGATAATAAAAAGTGTTAATTTCCGAATGTAGCCGAGAAGTTTTACACACAGACGAAGCTTAACAAAGTAGCTAACAATGCGCATTCGCGTGCATCATGATAATGTGATAATGCACGTGTCTTATAATACACACATGTATTTTTTTATATATATATTCATTATTATTATATTTAAAAAATATATCTTAAATTCTTATTAAATTTGCGCACAAAAAACAAAAAAAATTTTGTTCTTTTTTTTTACCGATTCGAAATTCATAAGATTAAGAGCGAGTGTAATTATTATTTCTTAAACAAGATACGCGTAATTATTACTCTCTCTCTCTCTTTTCTTTTCTCCCCGTGCTACTCTCTCCAGCGAGAGACAGATTTTTTTCTCTCTCCGCTAAGCCGACATCTCATTAACATACTTAATATACAGCATTAATTATGACTAGGTATTTACCAAAATATACACGCATTCACTAGCATCGCGTTTTCGCGTATGGTCCAAAAATCTCGAATCGTGCAAATAATATCTTTTTACTGGATTAAAACAAATGTTGAGAATAAAAGTTAAAAAATATATCAAAAATCGTATCATAATAAATAGTTATATTTTTTTCAACATCATTTCTCGTAATAATGTCACTCAACTTTCTCTCGCGTTTAAAAATTAAATGTGTTACAATAATATATACGCAAAACCTCATCAATAAATAAATCAAAATAAATTAAATTATTAAATATATCTTTTTGTAGCAATTTTTTAAGCGATTAATAAGTCTTTTAATATTGGAAAAAGATATAATAATCTTTGTCATTTTTGAAAAATTCCCGAAGAGTTCAAGTCTGTGTAAAAAACAATCCGAAAGTAAAAATATTTCTCAACACATCGCACAATATTTAAATCATCGCAATGAATCGTCGAATGAAATTTTCTTTAATTCAATTATTCCGGTAAGAAACAGCAGTCGGCTCTAGTTTAAATACGTCTGATTAATATCCAATTACTTTTCACTGAGCTCGTTATACGTTAACTCGTGTCAAGAAAATGATCATTTCCGGCGTCGCGTCGCGGTGAATATTTATCGGCTGATTAAGAATCCATTTTAAATGGAATCGCCCGTTAATTCAATTCCATAGATTTGCTTGCAGGTGTAGCTTCTTGAATTTTTTCCTTCCGTAATGACACTTAAAAAGATCCAATGAAATAAACAATGATAATAATAATGTGATTTATTATTATATAGCCGGAAGGAGAAAAGAGAGAGGGAGAAAGAAAGTAGGTTCTTCGATTAAGAATAATTTATTTCAACAAAAGTTCATCGAAATTACGAAGCGACGAAGCAAATAGATGGGAGCGATAAGGACGATTAAGAACGATTTATGTGCATTATCCTTATCCAGAATAGTGAATTGCGACAAGCGGATGATAAATTACGACTGCTTAAATGGCCAGTGTAATCATTGACTTGCCTGTCGCTATCTATAGATCGTTGCGAATCGAGATATGATAACTCGCGAATGTACACAACACTGACTCACACAAAATATGGGGTGTCTCGGAAATATTGCCAGTCAGCTTCATCCAGCAATTCCATTATTACGATTTGAAATCAACGATTTATATCTCTATAGCGAGTATATATTTAATATTATATTGGCAAGAGGTAAAACTCTCTCATACATCCTTGTTCAAAATAGATAAAAAGACGAATGATGATAATTTTTAAATAATTATTTTATATATATAAAACAACTCTGGATACACACATAGGGTATCCAGTTGCGTCTCGAAATTCTAAGGCAACACAAATTCAAGGCAACGAATAGCACCGCAAACATGGGCGAATTTTGCCGACGACATTCATAATTTATGCGAGAAGATGGGGTGCCTAAGCCATTTTAGCACACGGCGGGAAACATAGTGGATAATTTAGTATCAACGAGTGATCGTCATTAAGAAGTGGAAGGGGAAGAGGTAATATTAAAGAACATTACGGGAAAGATTTGGTATCGCGTTTAGAATAAACTGTTGGACAAAGTAAAAGCTATAGGAAGAGGAAGCTAGGAAAATGTTTGCCTCGACACTTCAAGAGAGACCTTGAACGGCAAGACAAAATGTTATTAAATAATAAAGAAGATAAGGAAGTTCCACAAAATTCTTTTCTCGGAAAAGTTACTCGTGTCACAAATCACTTGGGGTAACTTCGAAATATTAGAATGGCTCGCTTGTTTGAAAAGTAAATGTTGGTTCGACACTAACAATAACACTAATACAACATTACGACGCACACAATCTCAACATGGTAGCTTTTACTCGCAAACAAGGGGGAAAACTTGGACGCGGGGATAAAAATAAATTGAAGCAGAAATTTACAACTGGCCAGCATAACTATTCCAGGGAGAGAACCGCACAGGATGAGAGACAGCAAACTATTCATTACACCGAAACTATCTTCAAAGCTAAAGGATAAATGTAACCCTGATAAAGATAACGGATACACAATCTATGCAATTTAATAAAAGTTTTACACAAGAGATAGTTGGAGATATTTAATTTGTTTATACATATTTTTTTAAAATCAATTATTACATTTACAGATAAAATAATGTTTGTGGCTAGCCACATAGAGAGAAAAAGAGAACGAGAGATAGAGGTAAACAGCTGAAAAGATAAACAGAAAATTGGGGATTCGGCGTTGTCGGAATTTTTCGCAAACCGCCTCTTCGATAACGCGCGAATTTTGTGGTTCTGTCGTTTCACGATTCGCGCGGATATGCGTGTGCAACGGGTCGGCGAATTCCAGGTGAGAAATGTCGAAAGACAGTTCTGCGTTTTTATATAAATGTGCCACGCGCGCGTGCGCCAAGAATGTTCTAATCGTTCTGCAACACAATCGGAAAATTCCAGGCATTCAGAGATTATTAATCTCTCGATTTTTCATCCTGCGTGTATACTCCCGTCTGTTTAGACCTTAACGCAATGTCTTTTGCACTAACAATAAAATAGTGAAGATATAAATTGTCGCGGTATGATCGATTCACTCGCAAACTAGCACAGATTGGACGCGCGCGAAATGAAAAGCTAGTGATGTTTAAGCGAAACTAATATTAGAGTGATTGCAGCCGCGTAGTTAATAGAACGTCGGTTCCATCCCCCCTGGAAAATGGAGCGCAGCTAGTGCCAATAGTGTGGCGTCGATTGCGTCATCGGGATTGTTCGAACGAGAAATTGCTATCGCGCATTCACCGAATGCTCATTTGATCCTGAGCGAATAATGCCCCGATATGACAGTATCTTGAACACGACACGATTTTACGTCAGAAATTTATTTTTTAGTTAGAAATTTGCTTTTAAAGGAATATTCTTTTTAAACCTATCGTGTGTTTTGTACATTAAGATTCAAGAGAATAGAAAAGTGTGTTAAGATAGTGAAAAGAGGATAAGGGTTGGTAGTTTCTATCTTTAATTCCTTTTCGATAAGCTAGTGTTTGTTTCGCGAAGAAAAATAATTTTATCTATAGAGGGAATTTAAAAAAAACGAAGGAATCGCGCGCGGAAAGTGACGCGAGTCATCCGGGAATATTTAGCGCGATTCGCCAAAATCGAATTCGCAGGAAATTTTGCCGATAGCTGGGGAGAGATCAACATCGAACGGCCGAAACGTCGATAGGTTTCGGCGACGTGACGTCGCCCGAACGAATCAACGAGTCCTGATTTCTCTTCGTCCGAATTATACCGAGAGGATGCAATCAAAATCGGGGATCGCGACCCCCAACCCCATCCCCCTTCCTCTCTCGGGAGCTTCTTCATTATTCGCGGACATTGAAGCCGGGGGTATAGCAGCCCTATCCGCTCGTGTCGGCGCTGTTTGCGCAACAATCACGCTAACCGAATTATCCTGATCACATCGGGTGCGCGTTCAAACACGCGCGTCACCCCCCTCCTTCCGCCCTCGACCCTCTTCCCATTCTCCCGAACTCACCTGTAATTGATTGGATTTTATTTGTACGATCCAGCGCTGTGATACCGATAAAAAATGAGGGATAAGGCATGCTCAACCTCCTTTCGTCGAGGACGCTTTCAATAAGGTGCTTCAGTACTGCTTTCGACCGCGAGAAGTGACCATAAGAATGTATTTGTCTTGTCGATGTTGAACAAACGAACGTAAGAGAAAGGATTGTCTCTGTTTTACTTTCTTTCGATTTATTTGCCTTTTTAAAAAACTTGGGTTTCTCGCGAAGCGTTGAATTGTTCAGGATCTTTCAATTTCCCATCGAATTCTCGGAATTTTCGGATCTCACGTTCCAGATATGAAGTCCGGTCAGAGGAGAGTAGGAAAGTTGACGAGAGCCGCGACTCTCGCTGTCGCGAAAATCGGTGCGAAAAAGGTGCGCGGGAAGAAAAGACGGGGCAAGCAATTCGACACGATCTTGCAAGCGTTGCGCTACTTTTGCAGGCACACGACTCTTCACGGTCTTCGATACGTTGTCGATCCCGATCTACACGTGATCGAGCGGTTCCTGTGGTTCCTGCTATTCATCGTGTCCTCCACGATCGCCAGCAACGTCATTTATTCGCTGGCGCTTAGATTCCAGGTAAATCACGTACGAAAAAGGTGGCGATAATACATACATGGACGATCCTTCAAGGATTCGGACCATCAATTATATCGAAACATAAAGGATATGCAATGACTTTTATCTGGTTTTATAGAATATCGATACGTGTAAATTTGTCTAGGCCGCGCCGACGTCGATCGGCATCGAATCGATGCACTACGAAAATTCGAAACTGCCCTTCCCCAGCGTGACCCTTTGCCCGAGCGACCGCGTAGATTGGAACCGGGTCCTCGAGCTTGAACCGAGGATCTTTCCTAATGATACGGATGAGGCGAGTCTCGAGACTTTCCGTAAGATACTGGGCAGGCTTTCCATAATAACCTTCGGGGATTTCGATGAGCTGGATTTCCTGAAGAATCATAATGTGCGCAGTCTCTCGGGTAGGATACACCCTCTTTTCGAAGCAGACTACTTATAATTATGTTTTCCTTCACTTTTCCGGTTCGATTTTTAACGCTTTATTCGAAAACAAGATAAAACCTATCTCATATAATATACGAATTTTTTGATAAGATTATTTAAATCAGGATTATTCTCGGCATTTTTTGCATTCTTCTCACTGACGATGATCTTTAACACCGGACAGGTATCAACATAACTCAGGTATTGCACGAGGTGATGCCGTCCTGCGACCAATTGATGTCCACCTGCTGGTGGCGCAATGCCGATCGCAATTGCTGCGAGATCTTCGAGGTGCAGAAGACTGAGTATGGCTTCTGTTACTCGTTCAATTCGGAAATGGCGGTGATGTCCCCGGCGGATCCCACGGAATCGCGACCACGAAGAGCATCTGGCTACGGCGAATGGAGCGGCGTCAAGGTTACGATTCATCTGGGAAACATAACGAAGCCGCCGAATTCCGGTAAGGATATTGGCAAAACCGATCGTGTAATATTCTACGTGTAGCGATACGGAGGAACGAGCCATATGGATCGGATAGAGCAAGTTACATATTTTGCCGAAAAAAAAAGAAAAAATAAATAAAAAGAGAAAAACATGCGCGATCGCATCAAATAAATTGCTCTGGAAATTTGGAAATGCGGCCAATCGAGCGCTGATTCGCCTTCCAGTCACGCCCTTGGGTATCGCCTTCGCGTTGTATCATGTTGAAAGATTCAGAGTTTGATCGACGCGAATCAAAGAAATCTTGGGGAAAGTTGCTTCGAAGGCTCGCCTGGCTACATCAGAAAATTGGAAATTTTCCTGATGTAATATGAAATGATAAGAGAAAATTTCGATATAATTCGCATAGACATGTGATTGCGCAATTATACATACATATATATACTTATTTATTTATTTAGATTATTTCATTGATTACGACATTCATGCATTTTCAAGTAAATTGTACGCATATCAGTTTAGATCATCATATATATTATGTGTTTATTATTGCATTATCGCGACAAAGGGAGATAAACGCATTATTTGAACAAACATTTAGCATAAATCCAAGCCAGAGAGGAGAGGGGGATGGGGAGAGGGAGATATATATATAATGACAAACAAAACGTAAACTCGGGTAAACCGTGCGGCGAATTAATAACTAATATTATTTCCACCGAGATCCGCTAAATGACAAAGTACACCAACGACGTATCGTTACTAATCCGTCGTTATGCAAACGCGCTAGAGAGAATCTCGCAAATATGATTTTAATATCCTCGCGAAAAGCCACCGTCGGACGCGTTTTGAATGGAACGACGCGACGTCATCCCGCGTCCCATCGTAATGTCGTTCCTTTATTACCTCGGAGCGCGAAATGGGGAATGGGATTTATCGTAAACTGCAAAATCGATGTATCGGCGCCGTGTTGCGAGGCAGTTATTGAAATGTCGCCGCTAAAGGTAAAGGAATCTTTCAGCTCAAGCTCTGCTCTGTCGACTAGAAGGTAGACATTTTCCTCCCCTCCCCCCACCTCCCTCGACGAAAAATCGAAGATGAAACCCGTGAAGCTCAAGAATCGGTCGTAATCCAAACGTATCTCGCATTACAGAGATGATTGGCAGTGTCGTGGTGATAATAAACGGGCCGCATGTCTGGCCCAACAGTGGCACCATGATACCGTCAGGCTCGCTGGTTAGCCTATCCTTGGAATGCGTTTCCGGATACGCCACTCAGCGCGTCCTCGAGCTGGACCGCGACAGGCAACCGTGCCGGTATGACGAGTCAGGCGAGTACAATCAGGAGACCTGTCTCTCACTCTGCAAACGCAATTACGTCACCAAGTATTGCGGCTGCAATCCGTCCTTCCTGTTCCCCGCAAGTATGATCTTTCGTATTCCTTCAAAGGTCGAATTCGCGTGCATGACGAGTACTGTAAACTGTTTCAGCCGCTCACTATCGCGACTGCACCATCGAGGATTTTATCTGCCTGCTCAATTACAACGGTGAGGGAGGAATTTCTCTATAGGGACATATCCCGCGTTCTGTCTTGTATATACTAGGGCAATTCCCGAACAAATTGTTGGCACTGACTGCTCTATGATTTATCACAACTTCAAAGTATCTTTGTGTGTTCAAAATGATGATATGTCATTGAAAGATGTCAAGGACTCTGTTCTTTATAGCTGAACTAGTTGCACTAATTCAGAGTTTATCTTTATCTCTCCACATTAGAAGGAGAAAAATAAGCTCAGAACTAGTGCAGCCAGTTCAGCTTAGTTCAGCTATAAAAAACAGATCCTAAGTTGCAGCAAAATGGTGAGAGTTGTCTAAGTCGTAACAAGATCTACGAGTGGATAGATTATTTTAAAAATAGTCAAATTTTTGTTTGAGATGAAGTGTTCAGGTAGACAGAAATTCGATCATTTTTAAAACGATCTATCTACTCATAGATCTTGCTGCAACTTAGACAACGTTCACCATATTGTTGTTGCAATCTGCGAATAATCTCTGCTATTCTCATCTTCTTTGAATGAAGAAAACATATCACTATTCTCGCATTTCTTCTTTGATAGTTGAAGGGCACTCATTTTAAATTGATATAAAATCACGATAAAAACAGTTAAACAACAAACCAGAACTTAAAACACATAAAACACTCAAAACACACTTTGAAATTATGATAAGTCATAAACGAGTCACTGGAGAAATAAAAAAGTTCCTTCATTTTTTTACTTGCCTTAGTATGTATATAAACGTATCTTTTAAATATAAAATTAATCAACATTTTGCTCTTTTTATAACACGCATATGATGATACAAGATCTGTTCAATGACTATATCGTTTACTTCGGTGACAAGATCCCGCATAGCATTTCTAGCATGATTTGCAAATGTTCGCCGGAATGCGACTACTATCTCTACGGCGGCCAGTTTTCTAATGTGCCGCTACAGAACATAAACGACATTATCTTAGACGTGCACTACATAGGGCAAACTAGTTTCCGCTACAAAACAGATATAGTCTTCACGCAAATGGATCTCCTCGGTAAGTTTCTCTCTCCCTCTGCAATTTTTCTTACAGATACATTTGTTGCGTGTATTACATTCTCTTTCTGCCAAATGTTTTCCGTGTATATACTTGTAGAAAAATGATAAAAGATAATTACTGAATATTAATTTTTATTCAACAATCTTTTTCTCTATTTCGGAAAAAAGATATCAAATTACAATTAATCTGAAATTTTGCTATTAAAATACGTCGAGGGAGTCGGATCGCGTCGGATTTGAGAAATTTATAGAGACGAAATGGTGGAGAAACCGAAAACGCATGGAAAAACTGCTCGCGAAAAATGCTGCTTTATTCAAGCTCGCTTCTCTAGACTCGCGGAGAACTTTAATTTGCGGCGCCTTAATTATTTCCCTATCTCTATTAACCGCGTTCCGCGGCGGTTCGCCCGCGTAACGAGTCCCGCGAGATACCCGATACCCCCCGAGTTACGAATTCATTGCTCTTCCGTGTTTCTTATTCAAAATGTTTACGCCTCTTGTTTACGGCTATCTCGCTGAATATTATTCGCGATTTTATCGCGAGGGGAGCCAGGAAAATCACTATCGAGAGATCATACGAGTTAACATCGCGGGAAATTAAAGCCAACATTGCGCTTAACCGACCTGTGTTGATGCTGATCCGAACCCGCCGACGTCATTATCATCGAGTGTTTTGCCACGATCACCATATTAATAACTCGGCCCTCGATTTACATACCTCCTTGCAGTGTCTTTCGGCGGCATAATCGGCTTATTTCTGGGCGGCTCATTGCTCAGCGCTGTCGAGCTCGTCTATTACCTGATAGTGGCGGTGCTCTCGTTTCTGCGCTCGCGACGAAGAGCCGAGGGAAGAAAGACGCGGCCGAGGTCGACGAGGTCGAGCGTGACGATCGTCCACAACACGACTGCGGTGCTGCCCATCCTGGATTACAGCCCTCTGAAACAGCGGGCTAGGAGGATACCGATTTTCGCGAATTACGCTCTCGCAGAATCGAATTTGAACAGGTATTGAATTACGGGGGATTGAAGATAACGCCCTTCGCCTTCGCGCGAGTCTTTCAATCGTAAGAGGAGGTGGGTCGTTTATAGTGAGCCTCTCTATTATGGCCGAGCGGCGCCAAGAAATTTGAGAAGGTTAAACAAAAGGGGTTCAACTACGCTAATCCCTCCATCCCCAAAGTCGATATTCGTACGTTGAAATGCGAATGTGCAATTTCTGCTATGGAATTCTATTCTCTTCCAAATCGAGGGGCAAAAATTTTACAAACCAGATACTCGCTAAACGCCGCGCGAATCTGCGAGTACTGTCTGCTAGAATAAACGAGTCCTCTCCCGTTTTCCATAGACACGTCGGTTATTGTGTTTTACTTTCTGTACCCATAAATCAGAAAGTAGCCGCGATATCGATCAGATTTGACAGGGAAATCGAGAATGCCTCGCACGCGAAATCTGGTACCTACCTCCTCCTAGACATCCCTATTCATATGCGTTTGTGCGCGTGTACGGCCGTTTATATTTGCGCGCGTGCACATGCAGACAACTCGTATTTTATTCAACGTTATATATGATACGCTCCTACCATCTTGCCATTTTGCGACCGCGTAACGCTTGACTTCAATAATACATGCCATGCATTTTACAAGCGTCTCAAGCGACTTCCTTATCTTTCTTCTCTTGAAGACTGGCAAGTCGAACAATTGCGCAATTTGTACATTTATTTGTTGTATATTTGAGAAAAAATGCCACTAGTAATTTTAAAGAGAAGCGTTCTATATATATAGTAAAGATAGATTTAAAAAAGAAAAGCATGAAGACAAGATTGAACGAGACAGATTTGCTTCATTTTCGATGCGTAGAATATTGCCTTACGATCGCAGTTAAAAGTTAGTTGTATAAGATGTAATGTGATATCATGTAATGTGATATCAGATATATAAATATGATTCTATAAAATTTTGTTTTGTATACAAATTAATCAGTTTATTGTAATTAAAATATGAGATTCCGTTATGAAAGGTTGGAACAATTTCCCTCAACAATTGCTAAAATGTGCAGTAAACTATTACAATTACCGTCATACATATATTTTAAATGTTAAATGTTAGAGAAATATAAATCAATCAAACATTTAATTATATTTTATAATGAAATATCGAGAACACAGGAATTAATTTGCAATTAAATATTGCATGTGTGTGTATGCGTGTAACATAACTGCTCATAAAAGATATAAATAAATTTATTGCACATGACAAATAACACTTATGTAAAATAAACATTAAACAAATTATATATGTATTTTGAAAACAACAATTTTAAATTTAAGAAAGAGAGAAAAAAAGAAAGAAAGGGAAAAGAATCTAATTCAATTTCAAACATAGACAAGGGATCTCCGAATAAAAAAGGGCTCGACAAGGCTGGAGCATCCTGTGGACGGGCGCTAGTTATCGTCATTTCGCGCCGCGAAAGTGGCCGTGTCGACAAAATGCGGCTGCGAGCGGACAATTGCAGCATTTTAGATGAGCGCTGAAATGTATGAATAACGGGAATAAATCGCGCGTGTGGCCGTGCATTCGGTGCACTCGGCAAAATTGTGCCGGTCGCGATTCATACTATTTGCGCCGGGAATGCTGGCGAGCGCAAATAATGCACGAGGACTCTCTCGCGCGGCATTCGTCTTGCATTTAACACGCTTGCGACGCATTACTATGCACCGCTCATCAAGATATATATGTGTATATAAACACGACTTTTAAAATTAACTCCTAAAATATTGACTTTTTATAAAACAGATATTAGAGATGAAAAATGTAGCTAATACCCCGTTTATTTATTGATCCGATTTAAAAAAAGAAAAACTTTTTCTTGTTTAGAAACTATTAAAAAACTTAAAAACTATTTTAAAAAATGATAATTTTATAAAATTTTTAATATCCCTTATATCTCTAAAATGAGGTTTTTTGGGACCATATGTTTATATAAACACTTTTTTTTATGAAATAATCTGAAAAATCAGCTCCTAAAATATTTAACTGTATTTAAAAAATAGCCTATTTAGTATATATATATATAATTTTACACATTAGCGCGTTATCGTACTGGAGTATTTTCTTACCCGAAGGAAATCCGGCGAGCTGGAAATTTCGTGAAAAAAATGGCGAACTCGTCGTCGCTAAGGACGTAGTTATTCTCCGCGGCCCGGGCGATTTTTCGAGCGACAACGAGCCGGATTTTTCCCTTCAGACAGCGGACGCTTTCACGCCATTGAGGATAACCGGCACACTTAAAACAGCAGATAAGACACGCGTCGCCCATTTTTCCGTGTTTTTTCTTCCCTCCCCAGCGCGACACGTGTAAAGCGCGCGCGGTTTGAGACGGAAGCGAATGTTACCGGCCGTCTGGCCGAGACCCATTTGGCCATTTATTATTTATGAGAAGAGAAGACGGCGCAGGAGGGAGAGGGGAGGGCGAAAAGTTGCACCATCCCCGACCAGCAACGTCAACTCGTCGGGGAAAAAAATCCCTTTCTCGCGCTTATCTCTTTTTAGGGGCGCTATCCGCCGGGATTCATCCACCGTGAAAGGGAGATACTTCATGGGAGGGATACGTCTCTGTCTCTTTTTTTTCTGCTGCGCTTTAAAAACATCCATCGGGGTTTAGCCAACATTGCCCATTATAAAGACCTCGTGCAGTACAGCTGCATAGCGAAGTCAACATGTAGTCAATTAAGATAGTTGAAGTCTCCTTTGGATGGATATGCGGTTCTGCCAAATAAATGGATTGTTTGAGATTCGGTCTAATGGTCATTTCGGCCATACTTCGGTCTTTCGAGCGGCAAACACTCACGCATATTGCTCGTAGGATCTGGCGCGGGTGGACCGAAGATCTATGAGTTGAACAAGAGCGAACGAAAAAAAGGGATGGTCGGGAGAGAAAAGCGAAAGCTTGAAAGAGAAAAGAAAAAAGAAGAAAAGAAGAAGAGAAAGAAGAAGAAGAAATGGAGAAGAAGGAAGTAGAAGAACCGATCGTTGTCAGGGAAACGAAGGAAATCTGCATTTTGTCATTTTGTCGCTTGAAAGTTCGCGAGCGCGTCTGGAAACACGGTGGGTGAAAGGTTGAGGGCGGGAGAGCGGAGCAAGGGGGAATAGGATAGGCGAGGGATTGTCGAGGGTGGAAAAAGGAAGAAGGAACTAGGCGCACGCGGCTGGCCCCGTCGAAGAAGGAAACGGCGAAGTTTCGAGAGTAACTCTCTCCGGCGTGCTGTTATCTAAACCCTTCACGTAGAGTCTCGAGTGGTTCGAGGTCGAAGGCTGCTCCTTGCCGGGGAATATCAGCGCATTAGTTTCGATAAAGATCCCCCGCAGATGGTAACTCGTCCCGTCTAATTGACAGAAACGTGTAGTTCCTGTCGCGACATAAGCGCCGAGAGAGAAAGAGACAGAGAGAGGTTTTTGCCTTTGTATAGAAAACATGTATCGATCGGGATGTCTGGTGGAAGAGAGTACTCATTTATACGTCGCGATTAATCTTGTTTTGTAATACTCTAGACCGCAGAGTATAAATATTGAATTTCATATTTACATACAATGTATACAGGATGTCCCAAAATTCGCGAGTCAAAATACTATAACAGAAAAGTTCTCGAAAAATTAAGTAAGATAAATATTTGCAATGTTTCCAAGCAATAGTTTTTGAGATATATGTAAGACTTTAAAGATCTCTGTGGTCAATCCTAGAATACGTTTAGATAGTTGTCTGTTCGTGAGTCGCGGACGCACAATTTTGATGACGCATGTACAATTCACAAACAAGCAACTGTCTAAATGTATCCTGTAATTTTGTTATTTAATTTTTCGAGAAATTTTCTATAATATTTTGAGTCGTAAATTCTCAGGGGGACAAATATATATATATTAAACTTTCTAAAATTAATTTGTATGTGTGTTTGTGTGTAAATATATATAGTATGTTTGTGTGTACATATAATATAGTATGTATGTGTGTGTAATTATTTCCTCTAAAATTAATTTTGTTGCACAAAATATATCTAAATTACGATTAATTATTATACTACCTTAATAATTTCATTACGCATTAATCATAATAATAATTATACCACATAAATAATGCGAGAGAGATGGAACGATTCTTCTTTATATATCATTTCCTTTAAATCAGATGCCCAGATGGCCACATCAAATGCGCCGCGAACATACAGACCGAATCCTTCTCTTCAAGGTAAATGACGATATTATTCGTGACGTCGCCTCCTGCAGGAACGAGCTCATTACGATAAATGCGACGTCGATGACTATTAAGGAGGACAGGCACTTTCAGCCGCGTCTGCTCTTCGGTTCCGATAAATTAAATCTTTCCTTCGACCCAAATACTCCGTCTTTGTCCCTTCCCGCTGGAAGAAGGGGGTCGTACGGCACCGAGGGTGGGAAAAAGGTATCGTTTGCTTGGCTGCTTTCTTGGTAATCTTGAAATAGGGTACAACTGTACGGGCATTGGCAGTTCGCCAAGCGACTTTAAACTTCCTTCCTCTCTCCGAGGATTGGAAACATCTTTGTCGGCGCGCGTCGTAAGGATCACCGTAACGGAGGGCAGGGCCACTCGTCGAAAATTCGAAACGTGCTCGCCGGTATCGAATGCACGAAAGGTACCTGGATGTTTGAAATTCTGCGATCGGCGCTTCGAGACTTTTTTTGCGCTTCGAGATTTCCTTGCCCCGAAGAAAATTTCTCCCAATATTAAAAAATTTCTACTAACGGAAAATAATATTAAACGCGCAATATTAAAACGATCAAGCTAGTATTAAATAAGAGCGATACATTTTCTAGTAAATAAACGTGTCTATGTGTGTGTATGTGTCTCTCAAATCCCTATCTCATCATCCATCTAGAAACGATTCGAGCTATCATCGCGCCCTAGAGTCGATTTCACTGTCATATATATCGTTCTCGGCAGAAACACTTTACGAAACTCTCCCTCTTCCTCTCTCTCTCGATC